GAGAGAGAGAGAGAGAGACAGAGACAGAGACAGAGACAGAGACAGAGACAGAGATAAGAGAGAACAAGCACTAGTTGCAAGGGTCTGGATCAAGATAATAACCCCCAAAGTCATGCCCCATGACCTACTCGTCTACTCAGCCCTACCCCCTAAGTTTTATCACCTCTCCAATAATGTCATCGATTTTACAAATCCGCTGATAGTGGATTAAGCCAGTGATGAAGTTTGAGTCCCTATGATCCAATCAGCATTAGTCAGCACCCAGCACATGACCTTTGGGGGACATTTTAAATCTAAGCCATACCACTACTGCTTGGCAGAGGGGCAAGGGACAAAGAGTTACTAGAACCTGAAAGGAGAGATTCTGTGCAGAGGGCCTCCTGGAAAGATGCTGTGACCCTCGGTTAAGAGCCCAGCATGACTGCAGGGAGGGAGCAGGTGATGAAATAACCCAGACTCCATGCTCCCTTCCTTCAGTCTTCTCTTAGGCCCTCACCACTGAGCTCCTTTGGGGCTAGAGGGAAGGGGAGTCTGTTGTAACAGCACTCACTGGCCAGCCTCCTGAGCACAGGGGAGCGGAGATGGTGGGAAGTAGAAGGGGAAAGACACAGTGAGACACTCATGTTGAGGGCATGGACAAGGCCTTGGTGGGCCCTAAGTCACTGCCTAAATTGGAAACATTGTTAAGAACACAAAATTACTGAAGGACTGTTGACAACAAGTTACTGGTTACCAAAAGACATTCTTGTTTTACTAAATTCAATATTCAGCATTCATTGAGTACCTGTTGTCTTTGTCTTTTGTGCTTAGGCAAATAATCTCCCAAAGGCCATTGCAGCAGCTCATACTTTTCTACTGAAGCACCCAGATGATGAAATGATGAAGAGAAACATGGAGTATTATAAGAGTTTGCCTGGGGCCGAGGACTACATTAAAGACTTGGAAACTAAGTCATATGAGGTAGATTCAGACATCTGTGTATTTACTTGACCAGGGTCTCACTAGCTATTCCAGGCTGGTCTGGAATTCACTGTATAACCCAGGCTGGCCTGGGACTTTCAGTGGTCCTCCTGCCTCAGCCTCCTGAGCACTGGGATCACAGGCATGTACCATCATGACAGCAGATTCAGATTTGCACACAGTTGTCAGTGTGATGTGATTTTGGTTAAATAAATATATCAGTGAACAGCTGTTGACATTGCAGACCTCTAGTGATATTTTGGTGACATTTGATGAACATTATAAGTTTATAAATGATTGACTGTTTAGCACAAAATGGATCTGTAAGATGAGTTTTTACGTTCTGTGGAGATTTTAAAGTTACCTCTCCTTTCCCTTAAATTCGTTTTGGACATATGATCATTTGTTTAGTTTTCAGATGGTAAAGACGTATCTTAGAAGTCACAAAAATGATAAGGACCACAGACTAGAAACACAAGTCTCCATGTTTTTCATGTTTCCATTTTTGTTTTCAGATACAAAAAAGCCGAGATTCTTACACTACTTGACTCAAATGAGACCATGCCAAGCAATTCATCGTTTACAACAATCATTTCTCTTCTCCAGGTTTTCTGCTCGATGCAGTGGTGTGCCTGACAGAAAACTGAATGTGCTGTGCTTGGCTGGGAAATGTCATTTCTTTCAGAAACAACATGCAGGACAGTTCCTACTTTGTCTGCAAGTCAGTTTACAACAATTGCTTATTTCCTGTTTATATAAGAGGCATGTGAAACTAAAACTTAGCTGTCCAGTTTCATTCACCTACCCCGCCAACAAGCAGGACAGCCAGCAGCAACATAGTAAATTGTGGAGAATTGTGGCGGTAGAGATTATTTATCTTTAGTAGATTCAACTAGTTAGACTGGAAAGTATTGACTTTTCTCTTAATTCTCTTTAGGACTTTCTCTTCTAATTTTGCTAGACTGGGTTCCAGAAGAACACCTCATGGGACATTGAAGTGTGAAAACTATATGCTGTCATAGTATACAAGTTTTTGTTAATTGCATAGTTTAGCAACAGTTGAGTTTGCTAAATAAATGATACCGAAGGAAATCCTGACCCAAGTGTCACTACTTCTAAAGGTTTCTGATCAAAGACTATTATACAATGATATTTATAGTCTAATTTAAAAGATGAGGGTCAGCAAGATAGCTCAGTGGACTAACGGCCTGCTTAGGCAAGTGCAGGGACCAGGGGATCCCTGGTTCCACACGTTGCTTCAGCCCTGCCCCCTGGGCATACTGTGCCGGCCACTGAGTGCAGGCGTGGTGGCGTATGCCTGTAATCCCAGCACTGGGGAGGTTGAAAACAGGAGGATGACTATGAGTCTGAGCTGTGTATCAAATATATTAAAAGAAAGAAAGAAAGAAAGAGAGGGAAAGGAAAAGAAAAGAAATGACTGACAAACTATATTTTTACATGTCAAGTACATAGTCTTAACAGTTTATAAAATAAGTTCACATATTATTATCTTTCAGAATAAGTCTCATTTTTTAAAAGAAACTGAGAGACTCATTTTATATATACAAAATGTATATTAAGGTAGAAAGTAAAGAGTTATTGACAGCACAGATACTGAAGTCTGCAAGTCTACAAAGGGGAATTATGATGAGACTTCTGAAGAATAAGCATCATTAACTCCCTTGAGCACTGAACATGGTCAGGTTCTGTCAGGCTCAGCCTCTGGGAACCCAGGCCCCATGGAAGGGTCGGGCAAGGCTGAAGACAAGGGCATAGACTGAAACTTTCTGTAAGGATTTGCAGATCCCAAGGCCTGATTGCACAGTTTCCACTGTGTGACCAGGCTGCAGGCTCAGTGTTTCTCTGGTGAGGACTCTCCTTTCTGGGAGCCTTTCAGGTTTCCAGGGAAGACTTGCCCAGCCTTCTGCAGGGCTCGTGGAGTGTCTGTGCTGGGTGCTATTAGCTGAGCCAGTCTGGGGAGAGGAGCAGGGGTCACCGCGCTGAATGTGAAGACCTCTGTTTCTTGGGCCTTAGCCTCTGCTAGGCCTCATCCACTGCAGCGTCCAAGTGGAGTCTCCGTCCAGGTGGAGGCTAAACTGTCAGTCTCTGGGGAAGAGGATCTTTGAGAACTGTGAGTGCTTGCATGAGAAGATAGTGCTAGAGAAACCTTGGTTCAGGGGCCCTGCTCAGATTTTCAGTTCTGCTTTCAGTGCCGCATCCTCTACCTCCAGTGGTCCTTTGTAACCACCAGGGCCTACAGGACATGTATCTCACTTCCCCTCTGGATTCTCCTCTGACTATTGTGTCTTTCCAAAAGTTGTTGGGATCTCTCTTGTCTGCTGCTTGCTCCTTTGCTGTCCACACATAAAAAAGATGTGTATGCTTTTCCTTTCTTCACTGTGTGTGCCTTAGGCTTGGGAAGCAGAGCTGGGTGCCTGTGGTTAGAGCACTTTGCTAACCTGGAGGTCAGCCGGTCTCTTTGCTCTCTTCTGGAGCCCTTCAGGATGTGGCTGGGCTCCCTCCTGAGCTTGAGGGCTTCTGGGCTGCTTGGCTTCCTTCTTGGAGCTCCTGCTACCCTGCTGCTTCTGCAAAGCCAGCTGCCTGGAATAGCTGCTCCTTTATTCATTCTATGGAAGACTCCTTTGCTTCTCTGCCTGTCTTATTGCCTGGGGACACTGCCTGTGCAGGAAGATTAAAGAGATTCATCTTTCTTTCTTTTTTTTTCAATTTGGAAGCAGATACTTTATTAACTGACCAAATCATAAAAACACCATGGTAGATACCTTAGTTCATCCTTCCAATAAGCCTGTTGATCTGGTCTTCCCTATTTCCAGCATCTCCACCTTCCTCAAAATGGGTGGTCTTTTTCTTCATTCCACCTTGAGGAGATGATAACTTGAATGGCCACAGGAAGTTATTTGCCTCTTTGAAGCATTTTCCAACAGTATAGATCTCATGAATCAGATCCTCCATGCAGATGATTCCATATTTACCAAGAGATCGAGCAGTCAATGAATTATCTGTCAAGGCAATTCGCTTCTTATTGATTTTGCCGTAGCTACGCTTGTATATTAGTTTGTTCACTGACTTCAGGTTTGGGTACCCCCATGCAACGTATGGCTGTACAATTCTCAGCATGTTAATTGAAGCCTTGTTGAGCTCAACAAAGGTACCATTGAAGACTTGGCGAAGGCAAAGAAGCTGCAACACCTTGCGGACCTTTGGGTTCACACCATTGATACCCCTGATCCGGATGACAAATGCCAGTTTGGGCTCTGCAGGGACATAGAAGTTGCCAGCTTTTCTCACCATTCTTGCCTTTCGGATCTCAGTTCTGTACATTTGTCTGTACTCCTTATGATAGTGCCTGGCTTTTTCATAGATGAGCTTCCTCCTCACCTTGCGAAGCGTCTTCTGGGCAAACTTCTTTCTCAGGTGCTTTATCTTTAGCTCTGTGAAATGTTTTTGCTTTTTCATAAGGGTTTCTGGCACACCAGGAACCTTCTTTTTCTTCTCTTCTACACCCTCCATGGTTCCAGCTGAAAAAGAGCGAGATTCACTTTTCTACTGGAGGTCTGAAGCTTGGTGAAAAGTTCAGGTTCACTGGGTGTAGTAGGAATGCCTGTAATCCTAGCTACTTAGGTGACTGAGGCAGGAGGGCTGAAAGTGTGAGGCTAGCCTAGGCAGCTGTGTGGGTCCCTGACTCAAAAATAGAATAGAATAGAATAGAATAGAATAGAATAGGAGTAGGTGTTGGAGATGTGTTCAATGCAAGGTTCTGCTTCACTTACCAATATTGTAAGGAAAAATAAATAAATAAATACAGACCAGGTCCAAGAGGTGGCCCTTGGATTCCCCATCCAGGACTAGCTGAAAGGAACTCTGACTGGAGAGTCCCACGCTTGCTGCAAGCCTGTCGCAACCTCCTGCAGTTGGCGGGCTTTTGCACGTATCCAGGGCCTACTTATTTCTTAGACTGTCTTTTATGTGGTCCATATGACAATGAACAGGAAGTCTGCAGTTTCTGCCACCTTGTGTGTGTTGCCTTCCCACGCACAGCTTGTGCATGTCTCTCCTGTCTTGACCTTTGTGGTTGGAGGGAGCACAGTGTCAGGTACCTGCTCTCAAACTTGTTTCTCTTCCTGCATTCAGTTTTTAAAATCAGGCTTATTGAGGTGAATATATCTACAATATAGTTTTCTATCTTAAGTGTAAAGTTCAATGCACTGTGACTGCTATCTGCAGTTATAGCTCATGAACATAGTACAGAATTTTCATCCCTCTGTATATTTTCCATCTTGTCTTTGGTGGTCAAGCTTTTTTTTTTTTTTTTTTTTTTTCTTTTTGTGATTCTGGGGATCAAACCCAGGGCCTTGTATATGCAAGACAAGAGTACTACCAGGGAGCCACATCTGCAGCCTAAGCTTTTGTTGCAATGCCCAACTTCTGGCAGCTACTGACTTGAGTTTTGTTAACTTTCTTCTTGAATTTGATTTTTGTTATCAAACACATGATACTTTTTGAATTAACTAAACTAAATAAGAATTACACCCATTGTACTTTTTTTTTTTTTTTTTTTTGGTACCAGCGATTGAACTCAGGACCTTACACTTGCCAGGCAGGTGCTTATGCCACTGAGCTATCTCCCTGGTCCTTGTACCCACTTTAAACCATAGAAAAATCTAGATATAAAGCAAATTATAGGCTATGTCTGGTGGTACATGCCTGTAATCCCAGCACCTGGAAGACTGAGGCAGGAGGTTCACCATGAGTTTGAGGCCAGCCTGAACTACATAGTGAGTTCAGGGACAACCTAAGTTACATGGTGAAACCCTATCTTGAAAAATAAAGAAGGGGCCAGGGATATAGCTCAGTGGTATATCATCTGCTTGGCAAAGAGTGAGGTCCTGTTGATTCCTGGTACCACCTGCCCCAGTAAAATAAAGGAAGGAAGGAAAGAAGGAAGGAAGGAAGCAAGCATGGAAGCACGTAAGCAAATTACAAACTAGGAATGGTGGCAGAGTGTGATCCCAGCACCCTGAGAGGCTGAGGCAGGATGGTAGCAAGTTTGAACCCAATCTAGGCAACTTACACACTTAGTGAGACCCTGTCTCAAAAGTAAAATAAAAAAAAGGTTGGGGCTGAGAGGAGTGTTGCTCAGTGTGAAGGCCCTGAGTTCAGTCTTTAGTACCTGGGGGAAGAAACACATAGATCGACTTCATGTTTAACGATTGACAGGGTAGCTTTTCCAAGGCTAATGAAAGCAAACCAGGGTGATGGACTTAGTTCCTTTAGAGGGACAGGTCTGGCTCCCTCTAGACCAGGACAGGTTTCTTAGCTTCTGCTTGCTTTTCAGAGCCTGTTTATCCGAGCAGTACGGGCCTACAATGGTGAGAACTGGAGAACGTCCATCACAGACATGGAGCTGGCCCTCCCCGACTTCTTTAAAGCCTTTTATGAGTGCCTTGCAGCTTGTGAGGGGTCAAGGGAGATCAAGGACTTCAAGGATTTCTACCTTTCCATAGCAGGTGGGTGGCTTTGTCCCAGGGAAGGAGGGTCCCTGCCTCATGGAGTCTGTCTTCCTCAGAGCATTGCTCTTCATGAACAGCCTCCTCAGACCTTGTGGGGTCTTTGAGAAACTCCCGAGCTTAAATATTAATGAATAACTTGGGTAGAGGACCCTACCTGGATAAACCCATGACCTGATCGAGGCCTCTCATGAAAGAACTGTCAGAAAGTTCAAGCCCAACCCTACTGAGGAGGCTACTGTATCAGCCCTGTTCCATACAGATGCTCCCAAGGCTGTGGAAACACAGAAATGGGCCCAGAGGTGGCCCATTGATTCACATGATTGAGGTAACTTGCATTATGGGAATGGCAGTTTTGCAGCACACAAAAAAGTAGAATGAAGACTGGAATGACTCTTTAAGAAAAGTAATGTTTAGGTCGTTGTGTATGTGTGTGGTGCCAGGATTGAATCCAGGAATTTGCCTTGAGCTGTATTCTCAGTCTTTATACTTTTCTTCTTTTTTGAGACTGGGTCTCACTATGGAGCCCAGGTTGGTCTTGAACTTTAGGTGATCCTACCTCCTCACTCATCCCCCAAATGCTAGGATTATAGGCATGTGCCACTATACCTGGCTGCCTATCCTCCCCCTTTTTTAATTTTTTTTTTTTTACAAGACAACATTTTAATGAAAATTCAGTGGTGGATATGTATAATCCAGGGGCTAAATAGTTACAAGGGACTGTCATAGAAATGTAAAGCCGACTAGATAGATGCTCAGGTAATTGCTACATATTCTCATCATCTGATTCATCTTCTTCCTTCAGTGATTCCTTAGCGTATTTCTCTGCTTCTTCCCTTACATCTTTTGGAACAATTTCATGTCTTCCTTTAGTTAATTCAACAACCCAGCTGAGCTCGAGTTCAAAAGCTTTATCCTTAACTTCATCATGTACTATGTAAATTATTTTCGAAACTTCTTTAACAACATCACGGCAGGTCATTTCTTTCATCTGAAGCTTCTCTATTTCTGTCTTTGCAGCTTGCCGGGCTTTACCAATAGCACAGCCCCAATAACCGTATGAAACACCTGAAGGGTCGATCATGTAGAGTTGTGCACCATCATTCACACTGTAAGACCCAAGCATGAAACTGCAGCCGAAGGGTTTGACGGCACTGTAGAGTGTGTAAGCATGTACATACATGGCCACTCGGTCTGCAAGATGTTTCAGTGGAATGTTATAGCCATAGTTAGATCTAAAGTTGGAAGCTTCTTCTCTTGCTATGTCTGCTAAAGACCGAGCATCTGCCAGCAAACCTGCTACTGCCTACTATTTTCCACAGCCTTCATAGCATATTCAACTTGAAAAACTCTTCCATCAGGAGAGAATGTAGAGGCTAATAGATCATACTCGGTTCCAATCGAACTCATCTTGTCCAAACCACCGGAGCGCGTTGGGAGTCCAGCCCCTTTTTTAATTTTGAGACTAGGTTTTGCTAAATTGCCCAGGCTGTGCTCAAACTTGTGATCGTCCTGCCACAGCCTCCCAGAGTGCTAGGATTATAGGTATGTACCATCACAAGATATATTTCTTTCCTTATTTTAAAACAATGTATGCTCCTTATAGGAAGTTTAGAGAACAAAACAAAGATGAAGGAAAGAAACCCTAAAATACCACCTATAGATAGCCCAGATTTCCCTAAAGTGCCATAGTGGGCAGCATTATTCTAGAACATGAGAAATGGCTGAAAGAAGAATTTCCAAAGGTGTCTGTGGACCCTGATTCCTTCTGTGGCCTGCAGAAGGGCAGGTAGGTCTGGGCACAGGTTAGGTGAGGCACTGCGCCTACATCCTGTGTGTGTGAGATGCGGCTGGGGATGCTGTGGGCTGAGTCCTGCAGAGGCCAGTGCAGCCATCCTGCCTATGGAAGTGCTTTTAAAGGGTGTATCGGGTGTTATTTTTAAAATTTTATTTATTTATTCCATATTTGAGCTTTTAGTGTTTGTTGAGGTACTTTTGAGGTACAGATGATACACTTTGTACACAATTCTTAACACATGCACCAAAATATCTAAAAAGCTATGTCTAGTTTTTCAGTTATTCCAGTGACTTTCCAGCTTCACATGTGGAGGCAAATTTTCTGTAAGGGGATTAAGTACTCCTGGTATCTTCAAATGCTGATAAAGTGTCACGTAAGTCCCACCGATTCATACTTTTGTATCCCATACATTACATACTCAAATTTTTAATCTTTCACAGCACATTAACAAAATGAGGCAAACCTGACTACTGCGACCAAAGATGATGTAGAGTGCACATGATTCTGACAGGGCAATGATCAAGAAGTAGTTTGCTTTAGAAAACAATTCTACTAAAAACTAGAGTACAGAAGTCATTTAAAATATCCAAGACATATTAAGTGCAGGACTGTGATTCCTAATTGCCATTTAGTATGCTTTATATAGCAGGATATAAAACTACCCCCACGTGTGGATGTTAAGCTGACCCCCAAGACAGTCACAGCCTGCCATAATTCAACAGCCCACTGTTTGCTGGTTGTGCCAAAAAGAACAGCAACAACAATAAAAAACAGGGAATGATTTCACCTCTAAAAGAAGCATTTACACTTAAAAAATGTGACAAGGTGGGATTCCCTTCTTTTAAAAAATATTTCTAGAAACTTGCATTCACAAAATAATAAAAATATCCCTCTGAATTGTACAAGAAGGGAGACCATTGGGGCTGGTGAGATGGCTCAGTGGTCTAAAGCACCTACTTAGAACAAGCTAAGCTCAAGCAAAGCAGAGACCTCGGTTCAATCCCCCAGCACCACATGC